TTAAGAACTGAACGTGGGTTTTATTGATTGGCAAGAAAATGACTTGAAAATTGAACTTCTGGAGAATCCTTGCAATTTTGTATTTGACAGAAGGATGAAAGGGAAGCATGACTAGGCTATTAATGTTATTTCTAACAGCGAAATGTTTGCTTGGATGGGAAAAGAAAAACTTCTTAAGAGCTTTATCAGTGACCATGGGAGAAAATCCTCTGCCAATGGCAACTACTCTCAAAGAATTGAATTCATTATCAAGTACAGATTAGGAGGAACAAGCTTTGAGAGTACAAAAACATAATAGTAAAAAAGAAACCTTTTTTTTTTTTTCCCCCGTTGTTTAGTCGGGTGACATGACTTAGCATGGGGGGGCAAACAAACAGAAAAGGGTTTATGGTAAATGGTAGAGTTGAAATCAGATTCATTGCAGATTCTAAGAGTATCAAGGAAGGGAAGAGTATTGTTAGATTCAGATTCAGATGTGAACTGGATGGATGGATCAATCGAATTAATAATAGATAAAAACATGTGATAAGTCTTTGTTACCATCAAAAAGCACGAAAATGTCGTCAACATAGCAAATAGTTTCGTAAATAATTTGACTTCAAAATAGTGCTTGTAAATTATCAGGAAGTATAGGGCCGAAAGAATTACCCATAGCTAATCCTTCAATTGGGCAATAATATTTATTTTGGAAAACAAAGTGAGTTTTACTCAAAGAGACTTTAATAAGTGAAATTAACTCTTCGATTTCAGTATGTGAGAAATAGAATTCCCAAAGCCTAGTTTTGAGGCATTTAAGTGATCCTTCAATCGGAGCATTAGTAAACAAAGATTTAACATCAAACGAAACCACAATGGAATGCCGGAGAGAAATATCTAAGTGTATGAACGACTTCAAAAGTATTTTTTACAGTGTAAATATTATTAGAAAGTAAAGGAGAAAATACAGAAACTAAATCTTTGGCCAAAGGATAAGATGCTGTTCCTAAGTTGGAAACTACAGGTTGAAAAAGAATTCGAACTTTGGGGAGGGCATAAAACCTAGCACAGTTAGCAATAGGTGGAATAAGTGATTTCTTACACTGACTGGACGGTATACGAGACAATTTAACAGCTGTTTTAACTTTCATGATGCCAGAAGGTGAAGGATCTTTAGTGATCAAGCAATGCGGGCCTTTACTTATCAGTTTTGCGACTCCATCAATATATGTGTGTTTGTCCATAACAACGATCTGTCAAGCAATCTGGAAATTAAAATGTTGGGATTAGGATGAATTTCACATAAGGCCTTCCTTTCCTTTTGGTTAAGATTTAGAACAAATTTGAATTTGCATCCGGATCCCTAAAGATCCTTCAACTTTTGACCTTATGAAAGTTAAAACGGCTGTTAAATCGTCTCATATACCGTCCAATCAGTCTAAGAAATCACTCATTCCACTTATTGCTAATTGTGCTAGGTTTTAATGCCATCCCCAAAGTTCACAAAATCGGAATTTCTTTTCAACCTATAGTTTTGCAACTTAGGAATGGCATCTTATCCTTTGGCCAAATATTTAGTTTTTGTATTTTCTCCTTTATTTTCTAATAATATTTACACTGTAAAAACTTCTTTTAAAGTAGTTGATAATATTTCCCCACTGTGCTCCATTATGGTTTTGTTCGATGTTAAATCTCTGTTTACTAATGTCCCAGCCGAAGAATCACTTAAATGCCTTGAAACTAGGTTTCGAGAATTGCATTTCTCGCATACTGAAATTGAAGAGTTAATTTCACTTACTAAAGTCTGTGAGTTTTCCACAATAAACGTTATCACCCAACTGAAGGATTAGCTATGGGTAATCCCCTCAGCTCTATACCTGCTGACATTTATAGGCACTATTCTGTCAAATTATTTGAGACACTATTTGCTACATTGATGACTTTTTGCGCTTTTTGATGCTTTTTAACGAAGAACACGTATCACATATTTTATCTATTGTTAATTCCATTGATCCATCCATCCAGTTCACATTTGAATCTGAATCTAACAATACTCTTCTCTTCCTTGATATTCTTATAATCTGCAATGACTCTGATTTCAATGCTAGTGTTTACCATAAACTCTTTTCTGTTTGCTTCCCATGAGACCCGACTAAAGAAAAAATGGCTATGTTTTTTAAGCTCTTAAAGTTTATTCCTCTGAATGTCTACTTGCTAATGAACTCAATTATTTAAGAACACTTGCCATTGGCAGAGGATTTTTCACCCATGGTCATTGATAAAGCTCTTAAAAATTTTTCCTCTTTCCATCCAAGAAAAACATTCCACAGTTAGAATAACATTAATAACCTAGTTGTGCTTACCTTTCATCCTTCTGTTGGTTACAAAATTGCAAGCATTCTCCAGAAGTTTAATTTTCTTGTGTGTCATTAAAATCCATGGTTCAGTTCTTAAAGATACTTTTTCTGACTTCAATTCTTGGGGAATTTATAGCATATCTTGTCAGTGTGGTTCGAGATATATCGGCCAAACCAAAAGAGCATTAAGGTTTTGCATTAAAGAACATGAATCTAATTGTCCGTAAAGCTGAAATTTACAAGTCTTCAATTGCTAATCGTAGTTGGAAATTTAATCACAGTATCGACTTTGGATCTGCAACAATTATCCAAAAAATTTACTTTGTTTAGTTAATGATTTTAATCTAATTCTACCTAATGATTTTAAATCTCTATTATCCTAATATTTTAATTTCCCCTAACAGATGGCACCACTTTCTCATCTCTCTGACTTCCTTCGGGTATAAATATGTTCATAACTTGGTTTTTCAATTGTAGATTTCTTTGCTTCTGATGAAAGGACTTTGTTCGCCCTCGAAATCGAGGAGTTTCCATGCTAAAAATTTACACCGAATAATTTACACTTTTATAGTAGGTAGCAAATTCAATACCATATTTCCTGCTTCTGTTTCCTTAATCTGATGCCAATTTATATGTCATGCAATCATTTCAATATAGAAGGAATATCATTTAAATTAAATAAAGAGATCGCAATATGTCTTCATTCTAATTATTTTGGTTATGTTGATGTAAGCAGATCTAAGAGCATTTATTGTACTATTTCTATGGCATTACAGTCAAAAGTCGTTAATTCGGACACCCATAATCCGGAATGATCTATAATCAGGACCTCAAAGCTACAAACTTTCTACGCATGCATCGTTTTTACGCATGCGCGTTTAATGTATAACGGATGGTATAAGCTAAGCTAAAAAATTATCTAATTGAGTTAATGTTGCAGATTACGTTGTTCCTTAATCTTCGAATTGGATCCGGCTTATTATTTTTTCAGACTGTTGGAGCAATTTTATAAAAGTAAGCTTGAACTTTCGATTATGTCAAATAGAATTTCCGATATATATTTACTAATATGTAAAGGATCTACAAAGCGAAAGTATGTTTCAGTCCATTAAACAAAAAGTGGAATTGCTGCAAAAAATGGATAAAGGAATATCCTTTGTTTATCTAACCATTCCAAAATCTGTTTATCAATTTCACGCTGCTCTGCAGCGAGGGGGGGGAATGCCGCGGCGCGCAATGAATTGGAAGTTGATATGTCAGCACTATCCTTATCTTCAGGGCAGATGTTTATATTTTATTCAGCTTATAATTCCTTACTAAATGTAGTATTTCATCTCGATGTACTCTCTCTTTGATATGATTTAAATCAAATTCCTCGTCATTATAATTCGCTTCCTACAGTGAAGAAAGTGACAGAGAGGTTATTGAAAACGAAAAAATTTCGATTGACAAATTGGTCGGTATTCTCAACACAGCAATTATAGGACTTGAACAGCGGAACTTTGTAACTAAACAAGAAATTATGTCTGTTTAATAAAATTAAAGAGAAAGTATTATCGCATAAAAAACGAAGCAACTGAAACAACTTACATTCAAAGAAATGTTTAATAAAGTAAACAAATAAATATTAAGCTCTTTTTTTTTCTTGTAAATTTTGATACCCTTTAGATCATAATTGTTCTTTGTTTCATAAATTACGGTTTCATATTTTTAATTTTATAATTTCTGCATGCCACACTAACTGGTGTACTAAGTGTATGACATGGCAATTTATGAAAGGCGATTAGGTTACATAGTTACCAGTTTGTTATATTTTTTATCATCAATCATATTTTCTAAACTAGTAAACTATTGTTATTGCAATTGTAGGTGCTGTTGCAACTGATATTGTAGGTGCTGTTGTATGTCGGCCAAAGACACTTTTAGGTTTGGACAGATAGCTGGATATTTCACGGACTGGCGGTTGAGAAACACTGGTCTAGAGCACATTAACTTGTCTGCACTGCAGGAATAACTGACACAGCTCTCTAGAATCTGTAGTAAAGACTGTTTTTTCTGAAATTCTAAGAAAATTTATAGCAAATAAACAAATGATTATAACATTCATGGAAACAAGTTAGGCCAGGGAGCTTTGTCCATTAAGCACAGAAGACACTGGCCACTGACATTTAGTGGAAATGCAATAGTCTAGAATGCAGGAGTGTGCCTCTTTACACAGAAAAGAAATACAGATGATTTTGACACACAAAATAATAGATACAGTATGTTATTTTCTGCATTAAACGAGGAAAAAGAATTCCCCCCCCCCTCAAATTCTTAGTTTGAATTAACTGAAGTGATAAAAATTTAGTTTGAATAAATAAGATTTTTTTACATTAATTCCAGTACAAGTTTTTGGGGGCCTTGGGATTTGTTCGAATTAGCGAGTGTCCACTGACTGAATTTTTGATTAATAATTAATAAAATTATCATGTTAAGTAGGGTATGCAGTATCTAGTAGTAGCTGGACATGTTGCATTTTTGTAAATTTAAAATTAAATTAGGAATTCTTTATTTATTTGCGGCTGAAAAGAAATATTGTGTATGCATTGTTTGTTCCAAAAGATAAAAGTATTAATACAAACTTTTTTTTTTTTTTTTTTTTTTTTTTTTTTTTTACTTTTTTAGGCTTTGGGATTATGTTCAAATGTATGGTGTAGATGGAGCTGCTGATGTTGTTTTAGAAACAGATTCTGATTCGAGAAAATGTATGAAAGTAATAGAAAAGCCTTCTCAGTCTGCAAATAGCACTGATAACAGTAATCATTTTCAGAATAAGCATGCAAGCTCTTATAGATGTCAAAAGGCAAATTTGGCTCAAGGGCGAAATTCATTTGAAGACATTCAAAATGTGACTAACTCTCATGCTGATCAAAAGTTAATGGAAAAACCAGTTTCTCAAGCAAAAACAAGGTCTCAGTTTGCACATAAAGCAGCTGTGCAAAGACTGTACAAGGAAGCATTTGAACATTACAGTAATAAGTCATCTAGCTCTCAAGCATGCTGCACAAAGCCTTCTGTTCATAGAACTGATGGGCTGCCAGCTAGTGTACCCGGAAAAGCACAAAGATTACATTTGCATTTTGCAAAATTACCTGTTGATTCAAAAATCCCTGTGCCTCCTAAAGATTTTGTACCCACCCCACATGATAATAAATTTGAAGAGATATATGACATAAAGCATGCAGACCATGGTGTAGAAGATAAAAATGAAGTAATATCTGCTAAGCCTAATTATCCTGATTTTAATGAGTTGCATTTCTCTAGTAAACCTGATAAAATTCCAAAAACTGCATCATTAAAGGATAGAGATTCATCATTTTCATCATCATGGGCTAAACAAAGAAAACTGAAAAGGAAGCATATGAAAGAAATTATTGATTCTTCATCTTCTTCTTCCTCAGATCCCGATAATTCCAGTGCTAGATCAGAAGCAAAACTTTCAGTCAGACCAAAACAACATTCTACAATGAAACCTTGTAGACAATCTAAACAAGATTTGAAAGTCAAGAGCCAAACATCAAGTTCAGAGTCGGTGTCTGATAAATCTGCATCTACAGATCTTTCAGCTCATAATTACTCACATTCTTCATCATTTCCAGAAAGAGATGTATCAAAGCCAGAGTCCACTGCTTCTAAAACATTTGAAAATGAGAGTGGCTCTCACACAATCACCGATTTTCATGATCCTGCTGACGAAAAAGTCGAAGTGGTCATGTCATCAGTATCATCTGAAGAATCTTTATTTAAAAGCCCTTCAGATGATAAAGTTAGGTCAAATCTGAATCTTCAACATACAATGAATGTGTCATCAAAAAGCTCTCTGAAAAAGATGAGCATTAAGAAGTTCGAGAAAAAATCATCAAGCAGTTCATCTTCATCTAAGGAAGAAGCACCTAGAAGTTACTTTGAATCTGTTAGTGATGCATCTACCGATAAAGATGTCAAATCAATATCTGAAATGGAAGTTTCATTAGATTCATCAGCGAAAGTTAAGTCTAAGTACTCAGATGAGTTCACAAATATGCAGACCAAAGTATTCTCTGAGAGAATTCAGAAAGAAAATCTCTCAGAAATATCAGCAGGTGCCAAATATTCAAATGATAATTGCAAAAAAGTTTCTAATAAATCAGAAGAGACTGAAAAAAAAACTGCCAAGAAAATATCTGCCACTCGTACCAATACCGCTTCTAAGATGACTACTAATAAGAAACAAGATCCTGTAGACTCATCTGTACCATCTTTAAGTGATATAACTACAGTATCATCACACAGTTTAAATACAGATTCAGTTATGAAACAACTTTCTGAAGATGAAAAATCTCTTCCCTAAGATATGTATGCCCTTTGCGTATTGTAAATAAATTTTTTTGTTTTGTGTGTTTAATATTTTAATTAGACTGTTTATTCTCAACTTGTCTTTTTAACTTTTCCACTTTATGCAGTATTTATTTATGGTACTTTGCTGCAGATACAGCCTCAGATACACACACTGGCCAATGAATTAGAAACTTTTGAGATTTTTATTTGAATGCATGCTAGGGATGAAGTATGCAGATTTTTTTATGACGTGTGTTACATGTGGTTAGAATGTTAGTATAAATAAGGTGTAAGAGAGATTTTCACAATGAATGAAGTAAAATGGGAAAAACAACATCTTTCACCATTTGAAAAAGGGGCTTATTGTTGGTGCCCGTTTAGCAGGGGCCTTGATTTCGAAGGCAACAAATCTTACTGGGTTCTCAAAAGCAGTCATATCAAAACTTTTCAAAAGTTAGAATCAGAATTTTTATTTAGAAGACAAAATTGCGATTCGAGAACAGTTTTTCAAGAGAGTGATCGGCGGCATCTCTGACAAATTGTATGGCAGAACAGGGACTCTACTGTGCTTCAACTGGCACAGATCATCAACCAGAGTTGTTTTTTTTTTTCAACAGATTTTAGCTCAAACCATGCACAGAGGATTGCAGAGGATAGGAATTCATAGTCGGGTGCCTGTGAGAAAACCACTCATTTCTGCCCGACACAAGAATTCGTTTACAGTAGTGTCAAGAAAGAAGATACTAGACATCTGAGGATTGGAAACAGGTAATATGATCAGACGAATCATGTTACACCTTATTTTGCACTGATGGAAGATGTCGAATTTTGCAAGAACCCCACGGAGCCATGAATCCATCTTGTCTTACTCGCACTGTGTAAGGGTCTAGTGGGAGTATCAGGATATGGGGCATGTCCTGCTGGTATGGAAGTGGTGCCCTGGTGTTCCTCAAGGGTAAACCAACAGCCATGAGATACCTAAATATACTGGCAAATCAAGCACACCATACAATGTTGCATTTTTACTCTGATGGTGACGGATACTTCATGGCCGACAATGCAACTATACATTGTGCCAGAAATGTTCAAAATTGGTTCGTTGAACATCAGTCTGACTTCCAACACCTTTCACCACCGCATAGAGTCTGTAGTTAGACTTTTCAGCTCCCGGGGACAACTGATGATCTCCCGCCCATCTTGTTTGCTAATAATGGAAAACATTTCATTCAAAAAATGTGTAACATTAGTTCATTGACCTTCGGATGCTGTGTCCAGGGACAGATGTTCCCCCTTGCCCCCCCCCTAGCTACTCCCCAGCCATCGGATAACACGTTGATTGCAATGGCGGTCCCTGGGGACAGGCACTGGAATTTTCGTTTGGCTGGCATCGGCCTGCAGGACCGACAGTATTAAAGTTAAAAAATAAATATAGTCTAAATGAAATGTGATCAAATTTAGTTTTAATGAAATGTATTGAAACATTCTAAACAAAAATACGGCTTAGCTCGCTACCGGCTGAACGGAAAAGACAGCAAATTCAACGCCACGCTCAACGTGTTAACCCGAATCTTAACCCCATAGAAAATGTACGAGATATGGTGAAAAGATGCACCCGACAGCACTCTCCTCTTCCATCTAATTTACAAGATTTTTAAAAAAGGCATAGACAATGCATGGTAAATGCACTTCAGAAGCATGTAGACTCGATGCCCAAATGAATCAGAGCAGTTACCCGTGCAAAAGGTGGTCCAATAAATTATTGATCTTGGGTTTCTAATTCATTGGCCAGTGTGTATGTATTATATATGGTTTTCACATATGGAATTACCCTGCATTTTGAAAAGAGTGGGGAAAATTTGCATATAACTTTGTGTCACATTTTTAGCTGTATATGTTAGGAAACATAATTAAATGGTATAATCAACAATACTTCGAGTAGATGTGCTTCCTTTTAATATCAAAGTTAAGAACTGATAAACTAACTTTTGAGGAGGATATTTATTTATTTTTAGTATGATAATAAATTAAATTAAACTTGAATGAAAATAAGGAACCATGAAACTTCAAGTGTCCTTAAATCAGAACTTTGCTGTATATACATTTTGTTATTAATTCCATCTTTTCCCATTGAATTAAAAAACTATTTAGGCAAAGGAGTAAAACAGAACACTGTTTTATAACCGAGTACTTGTTTCAAATAATTTTTTATATTAGTGGATCTCCGCCCCTCATTTTTCTGCCCGTGTTTCTTGAACATAAAATTTAGTTGCTTTATTTTGAAAATTTTTAAAATAAATAAATTAACAGCATTTGCTCACTCGATACTATTTCTTTTTAAGAAAATATCTGTGGGAAATTTTATTCGGAATCAAAGTGCTTTATAATCTAACAAAGTTTCATCTGTCTCAAAATTGTCATGACATTACATAGAAATAAAATGAGGAAAATTTTATTTATACTGAATTTTTTCCCACTTAGAGAAGGGGAAAGTTGTGTTGTCATGCAAGAATTTACACATTCAGATGTGTTTATCACTTTACATTCTAAAAGTGTTTAAGAAAGCTACCTTAGTTTAATGAAATCATATAATGATAGGAATGTTTAAACTGTGAATTACAATACAAGCAAAATGATAGAAAAATATTAAAGATTTATTAATAGGGGACAAAACACAGTTTCCAGAAAATGATGAAAAGAAATTTTATATCACCCTGCATTTTTATTATTAAACGGATATTATTATTAATTCGGATAGCGTACTTTAATAAGTAAAACTATTAGTTACTTATTAAAGTACGCTATCCAAATTTCTAATGAAGAGTGAAATAATATTACATGCTGAAGTTGCAGCTATTTCTGTTCTGGCATCTGCATCTTTTTCTGATATAAGATATTTATTTGGAATATACTAGTGTGCAAAAATTAAGGATGAGACGGTGTTTTCAATATAACTTTATACAAAAGCTTTCCAAATCAACACATTTAATACCGTAAGATCCCCAATACGTAAGGACATGAGTAATGTGAGCAACACTTACTAAAAGAGAACTCATAGGAATAAAAAGACGCTTTATTGAAAAAGTAGCATGGAGCGCAATGTGATTGAGGGCCGAAACATCCCTGTCATGGGTGTCTAGCAAGAAACATCCGCTCTTTAATAGGGGATATGATCTCCCCTGACTGCTAGGCAGGTTTCACAGCGTCTGCCCATGCTGAAAATGAGGGTGTCAATGAGTTGTTGAGGCATTGCTGCCCATTCGTCTTGCAGCACCAATCGAAGCTCCGGAATCGTTACTGGTGGTAAGGTACGAGCTGCCAAGCGTCTGCCTAGAAAATCCCATACATGCTCGATGGGATTGAGATCCGGAGATCGTGCCGGCCAATCCATACGTTCAATATCCTCACTCTCTAAGAGCTGTTTGGCAGCTACTGTGCGATGACATGGTGCATTGTCCTCCATGAAAAGGAACTGCGGACCCATAGCGCCTCTAAAAAGATGCACATATGGAAGAAGAATCTCGTTACAATAACGGGTCCCTTTGATTGAACCTGCGTCGAAGATGTGAAGGTCTATACGACTACCAAGCATGATGCCTCCCCAAACGAGAATATCGCCACCTCCATACCTGTCCCTTTCAATGATGTTCGAGGGATGATTGTGGCTTCCCCGCTCTCTGCAGATGAGTATGCGATGAGAATCGCTACTCAGACTGAATCTGCTCTCATCTGTAAAGAGTATTCGTCCCCATTCATTGTCTCTCCAATTTCAGTGTCCCGGCACCACAGAGAACGCCTTCTCCGATGGGCAGGCGTTAGAGGTACACACCGTACAGGGCGTCGTGCAAACAGAACACCACCGTGCAGTCTTCTGGCCACGGTAAAACGCGATATCGATCGTCCAGCCGCCTGTTTCGTGTGTATAGCGATTTCTCCCGCTGTCTGCCGCCTGTTTCTTCTGGCCTGTAAGGCAATATACTGGTCATCTGCGGGTGTGGTTCCTCGTGGACGACCACTACTAAACCCCCGGATAGCTGTTCCTGTAGTTTGAAATTGTCTCCAAAGTTGTGAAACGATGCTGTGAGCAATTCCGAACTCTGCAGCCACACTTGTCACACTGTGGCCTTCCTCCAACTTCCCAATGATTCGACCTCGGGTGAAAGCATCCAGATGTCACCTAACAGATTGATTATTCGCCATTTCTCGCTGAGGCAGCAACTCGGTGTGATTTTAACTGCTATACGGCGTGCAATCTCTTTGCCAGAAATACTGATCTTACACCGACAACATGCTTTATACTACTCAGACACTCCCCCATTACGTCTACCTGCATATCTGCGCATGTGCTACCGTACATCACCTTACTTAATCTCCTGATTGGTCTTTCTGTCCGCTCTGCCTCTTCGTTCAGCTGATATGCTAATTTTTTGACTTCGTCCTTAATTTTTGCACACCAGTGTAGATTTTAAGTTTTACTTTTAGAAGTTACTTCTTTTTGGAACAGATTTCAAGTTACTTTAGTTATTTGTAAATCTTGCTTAGATTCTTGCAATTTGCAATTAGAAAATGTGAATACAGGTTCAAAGAACCAACGAGAACCGATACTCGGTGGAGTCTAATCAGGAAACTCAAAAGTGCTGATAGAAATTAAAAATATCAATGAACTCGGAAAAAATAATGCTGACCATCTTAACAATTCTTAGCAATACAGAATGGGAGAGAATTTTCAGAATTGTTATTAAAACAAGAAATCAATTTATGTTTAGAATGAATGATGACACACTAAAAAAAAATGTTTATATAATATATATATATATATATATATAATTACAGTACAAAGTCTGTAATCTGGACTCGTCGGGACTTCGGCGATTCCGGATTATAGATCATCAATTTAAATCTGGTAAGATGGCATGCAAAAATTATACAATTAAAAATATGAAAACGTAATTTATGAAATAAAGAGCAATTATGATCTAAAGGGTATCAAAATTTACAAAAAAAAAAAGCTTAATATTTATTTGTTTACTCTATTAAAACTTTCTTTCAATGTAAGTTGTTTAAGTTGCT